GGGGGGGAGTCGCGAGCCAGAGGGGAGGGGGCGGCGGGTTTTCATGTGCCCAGCATGAGCTCCTACTTCGTCAACCCCCTGTTCTCCAAATACAAAGGCGGCGAGTCCCTGGAACCGGCCTATTACGACTGCCGGTTCCCTCAGAGCGTGGGCAGGAGCCATGCGCTGGTGTACGGGCCCGGCGGCTCGGCGCCCGGCTTCCAGCACGCCTCGCACCACGTCCAAGACTTCTTCCACCACGGCACCTCGGGCATCTCCAACTCGGGCTACCAGCAGAACCCGTGCTCGCTGAGCTGCCACGGAGACGCCTCCAAATTCTATGGCTACGAGGCGCTCCCCAGACAGTCCCTTTATGGGGCTCAGCAAGAGGCGAGCGTGGTGCAATATCCCGACTGTAAATCCTCCGCCAACACTAACAGTAGCGAAGGACAAGGCCACTTAAATCAAAACTCGTCTCCCAGCCTCATGTTTCCATGGATGAGACCCCACGGTGAGAAGCCTTTTCTCTTTCCCCCTTGGTCTCCCGCGCTCCGGGGTCTTTCCCCCCTCCCTCGCCTCCTTTTTGTCTGCCCTCGCCTTCCCTCCTGGCTTTGGGGTCTCTCCGGCCCCACCCCCGGGGGCCTGAGTGGGTTTCTCGAGGTTGGGAGGTTCGGCTGGGGGTGGGGCGCGGGGCTCGCCTGGGGTATTGGGGGGACGGGGGGCGAAGGTGGTGTCCGGGTGCAAAGGGTTAAAAATCGTTTTCTCCACCACTGTCTGTCTGTCTGCCCGTCTCCCCCTCTGTCTCCCTCCCTTGCCATCTCTACAGTCAAAGTTGGGGAGGTGGCTGGGCAGGGGCCCCCGAGGACCCTGAGGTTATCAGCCTTTGGAGCAAACCAGTCTTTCCATAAGGCAGAGAGCCTCAGTCCAGAACAGTGGCCAGGCTTTCTTGGGGGCAAAGGGAGACTCCTGTTTCCTTCCCCTAGCGGGATCAGAGGGTGACAAGACCCCAAGGACAGGTGCCCTGGCTCTCTGGGGGTACCCACTGCCTCCTCACAGAGAACTAGCCTTAGGGCCACCACCCCAACTTTGCTTTACTTCCCTCAGTTGGGGAGAAGAGAGGGAGCCAGAGAGGGGAGAAAAAAGAGTGCATGGAAGGAGAGGGGCCATGCAGATTAGAGGGCTCTGGGCTCCAGAGGACCCAAGCCCAGCTGCCCCCAATCAAAGGTTTGTGGGCTTTCCCTGAGACCTTCAGAGTGGCTCAGGCCATGAGCCCCTCCAAGGGTGGCCCCTCATGGCCCAATTTCGAAGTAAAAGGGGAAGCGAGAAAGCGACAAGTTCCAGCGGGGATGGCCCATGATTTATTTGCTGGTCTCCAGTTAGCAATCAGGCCAAGCAGTGATACATTCCAGGAGATCAATTATTTTTCTTCCTGGCAAGGCATTAGGCAGAGAGATTCAAGGAGGGGGCAGTGAGCAGAGTCCCTCTTCCTCACCCCCAGACCTTTTTCCTTTCTTTTGGAAACAAGACTGTCCCCAGCTCTGCTCACCAAATGCCACTCTGCACTTGTAAACAAAGCTGCAACGGCCAGTTTCCTGAGCCTGCAGGCCTGGGGGGGACACTGCAGTGCTCCCTTGGCCCCTGCCATCCCCCAGTTTCCTGACAGACCCCAGTCCCTGCCCCCACCCCCACCCCACCTCCCAAGGTGAAACCAAACAAAACAAGCCCCCAAACTTTCCTGCCCTTGCCTGCTCCCTGCTCTCTCGCCTGGTCTTCAGGAGGGAGGGAACTGGGGAGATCAGAGGGGGGACTTCAGGGGAGGAAGAGTGGCAGGGGAAAGCCGAGCCCCCCCCCCAAACATAACCAGACTGGGATTCTATTCTGTCCAGCTCCGGGGCGGCGCAGCGGAAGGCAAACTTACAGCCGGTATCAGACCTTGGAACTAGAAAAGGAGTTTCTCTTTAATCCTTATTTGACACGAAAGCGCCGGATTGAAGTCTCTCACGCCCTGGGACTGACTGAGAGACAAGTGAAGATCTGGTTCCAGAACCGAAGGATGAAGTGGAAAAAGGAAAACAACAAGGATAAACTGCCCGGAGCCCGAGATGAAGAGAAGGTGGAGGAAGAAGGAAACGAGGAAGAGGAGAAAGAAGAGGAGGAAAAGGAAGAAAACAAGGACTAAGCAAAAAAGAGAGACCCCCCCCCCTTAGCAACTCCCTTGAAGTTTCGTTTTATGGTAGCGGATAAATTGAGAAGTTTACGACTGTCATTTGCTTTTATAGAGAATAGAATGACACTCACAACTCTAACTACCTGTCAGATACTTGCAGCTCTGGTTTTATTACCTTTGGACTTCCCCCGATCTTTATTTGTTTGGGGGCTGGAGGGGGGGGGGAGACGGAGACACAGCGAAAAGTTCGGACTCTGTCTCAGTCCTTGCCCCAACACACACACTTGTCCCTACCCCCACCCTTCGGAGTCCTGCCTGGATTTTGAGGTCTGAGACCTGGCCTCTTTGCCCCTCTGTCACCCCTTCCTGCCACTCTCCCACCTCCCTGCTTCTCTGGTATTTATTTTAGAGGGGAGCCCTCTCAAAATGCAGAAGAAGACTTGTGGCTTTGTGTTTATGCTAGGGTTAGTGTATTAGATTTACTTTTAATTTTTTCCAAAAGAAAGGAAAGAAAAGGGAAGGAAGGAAGGGAAGGGCAATGTTTAAAGAAACGTTTAAAAATTATAGCAAGGAATGTCCCTTCCTCCTCCCTGGGGCTCCCCCACTTAGAAAGACCCCCCCCCCCTTGACTTTCTCTAGAAACCTGATGGAAACCTGAAGGAGATGCGGGTCTCTCCCCTCCCCCCTCCCCTCGGGGTAGATAGGAGCCTGCAGTCGCCGTTCAAATCCTACCTAGCCATCCCATGGTCACTCGGGCCCATGCCTTCCTCCCCTTTGCTGTCTGATTTCTGTTGTTGGGCCCAGCTTCCTCTGAGCTGTACTAGTCTTAGCGCTCAGAAATCACCATAATCATGAAAATAATAAGAATGATAATAATAAAAAATAATAATAATAATAATAATAATAATAATACTGATAATAAATCTTTAACATACTACCTAAAGGGAACCTGCAATAATCTTGAAGAAAGAAAAAAGACATTTTTGAAAATCCTAATATGCAAGAAAAAAAGAGAAAAAATTTAAAATTAAAAAAAAAGAAAGAAACCTCCAACGTATTTTATCACTACCTATAGAGAGAAATCCTGCTTTGAGAGTATTCGTAATGCGGTTTTGTTGTCGTTTGTTGCTGCTTAATTTCACTAAGAAAACCCCAACAACTGAGACTGCCTAGCCCACCGGTCCCGTGCGCTTTTATTGTGCTTCTAACCCCAGTAGAGTAGAGCTAAATTGCACTGAATGTATAGTTAACTCTGTCTTGAATTCTCTGTTTATGCAATGTGCTCGAAAGAAAAAAAAAAAACGTTAAAATATATCTATAATAATAATTTTTGGTCATTTGTCTTTATGTCCAGCTATGAATGTAGATTTTGTGTCCCGGCAGCAGCCCTGTTCCTGGTCCAAGTACTTTGTATTGTATACGTGAGTCATAATAAAAAAAAAAAAAAAAAGGAGAAAAACATATTTGAAGCTGGAATGACTTGCTTTTTTCCCAACGCCCCCTCCTCCCCCCCCCCCCCCCCCCAATTCTCTACTCCTCCTTCCCTCCTTATCCTCCTCTCCCAACACTGTGGAAAAGGTGTCCGCCACTGGTCTGACTGGGCTGGGGGAGCTCACGTGGAGAGGCGCCTAGGAGTGGAGAGGGCAGGCTGGGCAGGGAGGGCAGGTGAAAGGTGGGGGAGGTGTAGAGGAGGAGGAAGAAAAGCAGTTTGCTGCAAGTGTGCTTTTGGGAGAAACTTGGCTCCAAACAAAGTGGGGTTCTGGATCCCAGTGGGAAGAAAGCATCTCCCCCACTGAGTCACCTTCTTCTTCCTCAGCCTTGGGCTGGGCCCAGACAAAGAATATGCCCCCCCCCTGGGCCCCTCCCACAGCTAGGCTCTTTTCTTCCAGGGGCTAAGGATGAGGCACTGGGGTCCTTTCTGATCTCCACATGCCCCTCGTGACCGTGACCAACCCTGGGCACCCAGCACCCAGCACTAGGACAGGGAGCAGGGTGGGAAGGATATGAGGCTGAAGGCCGCCTGGAGGACTTGGCTGGAGGAAGGTGGCTAAGGGTGGGGAGGAGGAAGCTGAAGCCTGGGGGGGGGGGGGGGGAAAGAAGGGGAAGGTGAGGGAGTTGGTACACCAAGCAGCCTGGGTCCCCCAGGACTGTCCCCCAGGTCGCTAGCATCTACTCAAGCCTCTGTTCTGGCTGTTTCACGCTGGCCCCTGGCTTCGCCTTGGCAATTGGGCAGCCAGCCCTGCCCTCATAGTGTGGGCCACTGGCCTGGGGGGTGGGTAGGATGGACCTGCTGAGTGGACAGTCCTCCATCCCAGCCACAGCAGGGGAAGGGGGGGTCTTCATGGGACCCCTCATTCCCCAAAATAAGGGGTTGAAGGCTAAGGGACTCAGGGGGTAAAGGGGTCTCTCACTCCTTCCTGGAGCGTCCTAGACAGAGAAATCTGTTTATGCCAATAAGATTCTGGTCAAATAATACCAAATTCCAGAGATAACAAGTCTTCTGACTCAGTCAGGAGAAGGGGGAAAGGGAAGGCGATGGGATCTTCTGGTCCTTAAAACCAGATCCCCCCAAAAGACTGAAATATTTTTGACAGCAGATATCTCTCTGTCTCTGTCTCTGTCTCTGTCTCTCTCTCCCGGTCAATTATTTCCCCTCAGGCCCAGGCTGACTCTTATTTTTGTGTAATTTCACCCACATCTGGGTCCCTGGCACCCACGCAAAGTGGTCGTGAATACAGGATTGGGTCAGGCATCCTTGATAGGGGATGCCTGCGGCCGGAGAGAGGCTGCCGACTGCAAGCACAGGCTGCAAGCAGCCGGGAACAGCTTTGCACAGCTCTGGGGGAAATCTTTGGAAACTTGGGGTCCCTGCTGCGAGCCGCTGCGCCAGCCAGGTAACCCCGCTTGCTGCGGGAGGCCCGGGCTACCCACCGGGGAGGCCCCAATAAACAGCATTTCGCTCCGACCTCAGGCCTTCCCACGGGCGCCCCTTCCAGACTCCGAGGGCCGGCCGCGGGCTGTTTCATTTTTTAATGTGTCATTATGATTTCTTCTAATAAACATCGCCGGCCCCGTAGCCAAGTTGCTCGAACCCTACACTAAGTGGCTCCGGAGGACCTCGCCGAATTTACCCCACACCCAATGCCCCCATTCATCCCTGGCCTTCTCAGCAATGCCCGTGGCCCCAAGCCGGGCGTCGGAGGGCGGGGTGCGTCTGGCGCCCGGCATCGCTTGAGACGCAAAGCCTCGGGTGGGCCAGACCAAGAGAGCTCCAGCCGCCCGTTCTTGCAGCACCCGCTCCCCCACCCCTTCTGCCCACCGCCTCTTTTTTTCTCGTTTGGAGAGAAAAGGAGGTAAAACCCGTTTTATGGGGGAACTTAATTGCGAGCGGGATGCGCTCTCTTTAGAAACGCGTCCTCCCAAATGCTCCCGCCGTCCCATTACCGGAATGGGGACCATTCGGCTGCAGCAGATAGGACTTTCTCCCATTCTTTACTTTTTTATTAGCCAATCAAAGTGGCTTCCGAAAGCTATTTGTGATTTGTGAAAAATAGTATCTTTCAAAATGCTGAGTTGAAGCATCTCGCTCATTTCGCCTTGAATTTATTATTCTAATCTCAACCGTAGAGACGGGATAATGCAGCTATTAAGTTGGGGGGTAAATTCGTTTCTCTGGATTTTTTTTTTTTTTTAATTCTCGGCATTCTGTCTCCCCTCCCATTTCATTGCAGAGGCCAAGGGAGGTGTGGGCCTGCAGGGGACCTGGGTGGGGGGTTGAGGGAGGTAGTGAGTGCTCTAAAGGGCTTTGGGGGGGGGGGACCCTAGGGTGAAAGAGTTGACTGGCCTTCCCCAGGCTCATCTTCCTCAAATGAGACGCCCCACTGGTTGCCTGGCGGCTGCAGAAAGTTACGTGGCCCCAATTAGAGTGAACTCGGGACAGGTTGTGCCACAGACTAGAAGTAAAATTTCCCGTGAGCAGGCCGCAGTGCCGTCCCATTCTTCCAGTGGCCCATTGTGAAAAGCTGGGCCAGAGCTTCCTTGTCGTAATTTTTAACTACCTGTTATAAAATTTATGGGTGGGTTTGTAAAAGAAACTAGGTCTCTGCATCCGGCTGAGGGAACTGCTTCCCTCACTGAGGGAGGAAGTTTGGGGAGGGGATGAGGGACCCCCTGTTGGTTGGGGTGGGGCACCCAGCCCTGGAAGTCCCCGTGCCAGCTCCAAGCGGGATCAAGGGGAGAGCTTTGGGCTTTCAAATCTCCAGCTGGTGCAGAGTCTTGGGCTGTTGACTAGGCTGGGTTGCAAATGGTTGGCAAATGATCTCTATGGGGGAATTTGTTCTGGGTTCCCCCACATTGGACTCATCGCCAAAATTAGGGGTCTGGAGAAAGTGGGGGGACATCTTGGGTGCTTGGAAATTAGCACAGAAGGTGGAATTTGGAGAAGGATAAGTTTCTTTTTTTTCCCGGGCCTCCAAGGTGTATCCCAGCTGCTGGGACACCAGAATTTTTCTGAAAAAAGGCAGGTGGGTGTGGGTCACTTGACAAGGCAGAAAAGGCTTCAAACTGCCTTACACTCAAGGAAAAAAAAAAAAAAAGCGGGAACCAAGATCTTGGACTTTCATTTTATTTTCAATTCTAAAAAGATTGGGAATAAGCTGCCCTCTGAACCTAGGAATTGAGGAGACTTGACACCAGGGATAGTCTTGGAGAAGGAAAAATGTCATTTTCTCTGAGAAAGGAGCCTGAGGATGACGGGCTCTTTGGGGGTTCTGGAGGCCGCCCCCAACTCTCACCCCTCCTGCTGCCTCCGCAGGGCTGCCCAGTATGGGTCTAAACCCTCTCCGCTCGCTCGTCAGAACACGGCCAGGTCAGCCTTGGCTAGGAGGTTTCCAGCGGCGTGTGTCTCCTGTTCCCGTCTAGGGTGGAGTGGGGGGCTGCCTGGGCTCCCCACTGGGAAGGATGTAGCTCTCTTCCTAGAAAAAAAAAAACGGTCGGAGTAGGAAGCGCATCCCTGCTCAGTCCCTTCACCCCTTCAGCAGTCAGTGCTCCACCAATGGCACAAACCTTTGCAAAGCTTCGGTTCCCCCAGATCCGACCTTAATACCCCATTTATTAAGAAAAAGATTTAAAATTCCGTGTGGCAAAGGGAGGCGGCCGACTCAGCGCCAGAATCCTTCCTTTCCTCCTGTCGCGTCCCTCCTTTGCCCTTTCGGCGCTAGCCTGGAGCTGCCTGGCCCGTGGGGAGTGGGCGGTGGGTGGGGGTGGGGTGGGGGTCGGGGGATGCTCCCTCTCCGAGAGAATTGGGTAAACATGGCGACCGCGGCGCCCATTTGCACACGCTACACAAATGCATCGCATTCCCGGTTGTTTGCAGAAAATTTACAGCTGAGTAATAAAAGTTTACGATCGACTCACAAGTTGGATTGGCCACAAGAAGTCATGTGGATTCCATCCATGAACGTGAACTTTTTATTGTGGTTTGTCCGTTCGGAGCGCTCCGCAGAACAGTCCTCCCTGTAAGAGCCTAACCATTGCCAGGGAAACCTGCGCTGGGCGCTCCTTTCAATTACCAGTATTTTTTTTTTTATTAATCTGATTAATAATTATTTTCTCCCCCCATTTAATTTTTTTTTCTCCCAGGTGGAGTTGCCGGAAGCTGGGGGCACCTGGGGAGGGAAGATGGGGGGGAAGGGCAGGAGTTGAGGGCACCTCTCTCTCCCTTCCCGGTCCTCTAGCCCCCCAAGGGGCAGGAGGAATGCGGGAGCAGGAGTTGAGATAGGGAGCTGCAGATGCCTCCGCCCCTCCCCTCCCAACCTTTCCCTCCTGCCCCCTTCTTGCAACTCTCCTTAATTTTATTTGGCTTTTTGATCATTGGGACTATTCTTTTTTATTTTTAAATTTATATAAAGTATATATGTGTGTGTGGAGCTGAGACAGGCTCGGCAGCGGCACAGAATAAGGGAAGACGAGAAAGAGAGAGTGGGAGAGAGAGAGAGGCAGAGAGAGAGAGGGAGAGGGAGAGTGACAGCAGCGCCCGGTAAGTGTTTCCTTATTGGTTCAAATATGTAACTAATGGTCCGTAGCTGGGTGGCGGTTTCAAGATAAGGACAGCAGCGGCTTGTCTTGGTTAGAGAGGAGAGGGGGGCTGGCGAGAGGGTGGGCGTGCGGGCAATTATGGGGAGGAAAAGTGGGGGGGGGGGCGGTTAAGCTGTAATATGGTAGTGTGGGAAGTCTGTTGTCCTGATGTCACTGTGCGCCGAAGTTGGGGGTTGGGGGGCAAGAGGACTGCGCCTGTGGGGCTCAAGGCCGGGGTCTAGTGCGCTGACCCGCTGCCTTATGCCCACCCTGTCCTTACCTATTATAGATCCGCCGCCTCTTGGCTAATAGGACTGGGATGGAGGGGGCCCGGAAACTCAAACTCCAGGGCAAGAGAGAGAACCTGTAGGCTGTAACCATTGCCCCCTAAGCAAGGTCAGCCCCCCAACCCCCAAACAAACTTTCCGGCGCCCCCTCCTTGCCCGCAGCCCCCTCCCTCCCGGAGAGCGCCGCCGCTAGAGCTCACACATGCGCAGTGCGGGCCCAGGGCCGGGCTGCGGAGCAGGAAGAGAGCGCAGCTAGGCTGACGGCGGGGCCTGTTAATTGGCAATTAGGGGGGAGGCTGTTGGCTGGTGCGCGTCAGCGGAGGGGAGTGCGTCTGCCCACCCCCAGCTCCCGCCCCCACTCGAACGGACCGAAAGATGGGAGGTGCCCTGCACTGCGGGTGGATGGGTGGATGGGTGGATGGGTGGGGGTGGGGGACGCGGTACTCAAAAGCCATCTTGTGCTTGGAGAAAAGGGGCCAATCTGCCTTCTCTCACCCGGCCCAGCGTCCTCCACCCCCAACCGCGGCCACCGCACCAGGGATACCCACTGGGCTGCTTCACCCGCCTCGCCTGGCTGCCCTGGGCTAGGATCTAACTAGTCTGGGGCGGAGGTGGGAATTGGGGAGGCCCCAGGCTGGGTGGGGACAGGCCTAGGTCTCGCTGGCGGGGCTTCTTGGGTGAGTGGAGGCAGTGAGGACTCCAGGCGCGGCTGGCTCATGGGGTAGGGACGTCAGAATTGGGCGGCCCGGAGGGTCCTGGGCGCTCGGGATCTTCCTAATAATTGGTGCTAATGGCGTGTTGTATGGTCTTAACCCGACACATATGGTTTCATAACACAGTGGCTTAATTTCTTCCAAATGTACGTGGCCCTGAATGTGTTGCAGTTTGATATATGACCCCGCCCTGCTGCCTGGCCTGGGTCCGAGGCGGCCCCTATATGTGTGAGCTTCTGTTTATAAAGGGCGATGCACACACAAACGCTTACACACCCAGGCAGACACACCCCAGAGCTGGGGGAGGGGAAGCGCTTATTCCTTGGAGAGGTTTGAGAGTCTGGGGGCCAGACTCACCTTCAATCCGAGCTAAGAGCTGCCCCCCACCTCCAGCCCTCTCTGTCGTGGCTCGACTGGGCTTCTCCGCCAAGCCCCAGTGGGGGAGGGGAACGCTCCTCGATTTCCTGTTTAAACCCTGACCCGTCGCCTGGGGGTGGGGGGGGGTGGTGGGAGGGAGAACCTGTTTTTATCAAATTCTTAAAAAACATAATTCGCCTGCATTCAAATCAAACCCCTTGGGTCCGAGTTGATGGTGAATCTTCTCTCCCCTCCCCCCACAATCCCCTTCCCTTCCTCTGCTGCCCCCCCAAAATTCCCGTTTCATATCCGACATAAAGGCCTCTGAGGTATTCTCCCGGGGGAAGAAATGGCATTTTCTCTCCCCCTTTCACTCCCCCCCCTCAATAGGACTTGTGTGTCGGCAGAGGCGTCTGCCGAGGGGCTAATTTCGCGTTCCTTGTTTACGATCCAGAAAAGCGCTTGGCTCTCCCCAAATGGGCCCAGCCCGCCGCCTGCTCAGGCTGCCGCGCGCTCTCCCGCCGCTCCGGCGCGGCCCTGGGGCTGACGCCCCGGGTACCAGGCCGCGGCCGCGAGACGCCGTGTCTGTGGGACCTGAGAAGGGCAAGGGGAGTGCGGTGGGCCAGTGGAGGGGCCCTGGAGGCCTGAAAATGGGAGCCTTTCTCCTGGCGTAATGTGGGAACCGCCGACCGGTGAGGCCTCTATTTCTCTCTTTCGCCTGTATTTTGTCTGCCCCCGCTGTCTGCCCCCCCCCCCCGCCCCGCCGCCGAAGGCCGCACTGACTGTGGGGGGGGGGCGCGAGTCTCCTTTGTTTGCCCCCCGAGGAAAACAGTTTCCGGGGAAGGCCACTCAGGACAGTGGGGATTCACCTGGGATATTAGAGGGGCCCCCTCCCTTCGGAGGGTTGGGCCTGGGTAAGGCTGGGGTATTTATCTCGGCCTACAGGGATCTAAACGGATGTGCTGCTGGCGAAATTTCAGGGTGCTGGGTTCATGGGTGACGGGTTAACGGCTGCATCCGAGGTGTCCTTATATAATATTTTTATCAATTGATTTTCTGTCCCTTCCTGGCTAGGGTCCTGCAGGCCCCCACGTCCTTCACCCCCTAGATCCTCCTCATGAGACAGAGGGATGCAGAGAAAGCATAGCAGCAGTGACTGATCCTGGTTTTCCAGTTTTCTAGTCTGGCCAGGGGATAAGTCCAGCGCCAAACGCCAGCCCCTTCCTTCCCTCCTTACTTTCGATTTTCTTTCCCTTCTTTCTCTCCCTCCTGGTGCTCAAACAGAAGCACAAGAGGGGCCACCAGTGGCAACCCCCAGCATCCTTGCAGGCCAGATTCCCTGTAAACGTGGTCCTTAGTGCAGGAAAGCACTGGTGTGATTATCTAATAATAGCCAGGGCGGCTGAGACTAGAATCTGGCTCAAGGACTCTGCACACGCCCAGGACGCCCAGGACGCAGGCTGGGCAGAGGCACTGAATCTGTGGGTCAGGTTCTGGCAACACTCCCCGGAGCCCAGGGCCCCTAGCGTTCCCCTCTTTGGGCACCTCAGGCCTGCCCCTTCTAGGCTTTGTCAGCCCTGCCATGGACTGTATTTCATGCACCAGTTCCTAGCTAAGGAGAAATGGGCAGAGCAAACCCGTTCTCCCCCTGGGTCTGACAGTTGTGATCCCCACGAAGAATGCACCCTTGTTTGGAGAAGGCGGCCTTGTTGGGTTGGCTGTTGTGTTGCAAAAACTAGGCTTGGTAGCTTTCTACACTTATTATATACAGGCTCAAATGTACAGACTCTGACTTATGCGTGAATATATACAGACTCATGTTTCCTCGGTGGTTAATTGTATATTACCATGCTTATACTCGCTCAAACACCGTTTTATGTGCATGCAAAATTTTGTTAGATGGGATTGGGCTCAAGGAGGCACTGGGTGCACCAAGAAGGCTCTCTGGGCATGCTCTCCTGGAAATGTGTGCACGCTGGAATCGGAGTATGCGGGTTCCAGTAACCAACGGATGCCACAAAGGCTCTCTCAGACCTTATTGCCTTCACAGTCCAAGCAGCTGGGCCAGGGAAATATTGAATCCCTTCGGCTTTCTCTCCACACTTCCCCCCCAAACTTCCCCAACTCAGAGGCTGTTTACCAGGGGAACACTGTTGTGTTGAAAGTGAGAGTTTTGTGGGAAGCTCTTTTCGTGTTTTCGTGGGTAAAGTGGACGTTTGAGCAGTTCTGAGCACTCGGCTAGGCCCTGGTGCCTGAGCATTGCTGGGACAGCAAAGGAGATCTGAGTGGCTAGTTAATAAGGTGGCCTCTGGGAAGTAGTCTGAGGCAGCTGTTTGAAAAGGCTGGTGGAGAAGGCGAGACAGAATGGGTTAGGGGTGCGGTGAACATCTATCCCCGCTCTTGCCCCTGCTCACCGGACCCCAGATTTGCTTGCGTTGTCTGGGGGGCAGATTAGGGGCTCTCTACGCTTCCCAAATAGGCAGATCTGGTTACGGGTGAGATTTCGTTTTAATTCTCTCAGCTACCGACCGAAGCGGGGCGAAGGCTGACCGGCAGAGCCGGAGAAGAAACTGGGTCTAGCTGCCTGTGGGCCTGGGGCACTGAGTGTGGCCCGGGGCTGGGAATTAACAGCCTCCTTTCTTAGCCTTCCTCCCTTTTGGGGCCCCGAAAAGACAGAGCAGGAGAGAATATAAATGTCCGTGAAAAGCTCATGAAAGAAAGTAAGAACAGGAAAGGGGCTAGTGGGGCTTTCCTCCACTCCCTAGGCAATCAGGTTCCTCCCAAGACTCCTGTCCAGACACGCTGCGGGTGCCGGGTGCCGAGACATGCAGCCTTCTTCCACCTTCTCCTGCCAGCGCTGGGGGCAGCCTTGGGCTTTTGGACCTCGGCCACCCGTGGGTGCTGGAGTGACATGACCCCCAAATTGTGCCCCTTACGCAGCCCCCCCGGCCTCTGCCGCTGTGGCTGCAGCCGCCCCTGTTTATTGTGTCTGTGAGTTGTTTACTTGTTTTGTCTGCTGCCACCCTGCGTCAGAAACCCGCCAAACCAGCAAACTCACCCAGGAGAACAAAGTGCGGCGCTATCCTCTGCTCCCTCCCCTTTCCGGCACCCTGCTCCGGCCATTACCTCCTCCCTCACTCTCTCTTTCCCAGGGGATGAAGCAGAAATCGGCCTAAAATAGGGCAGCTGTTTATAGGGTTGGGGGAATTATGGGGACACCATAAACCTCCGGGTGTCCTGGTGGTGGAGAGACTTAGAGCTGCCCTCCCCTCGCCTCCGGCTTTTCTTCTTTCCCCTTGGCAACTGCTTGGTTAAGGGGGCCACAGTCATTGAGGAAGCCGAGCCCCCCTTACCCCACTCCTCCACTCCTTTCTGCAGGAGTTTTCCCTGAGACACAGGTTGT